TCCTTCTCCTTCCTCTCCCTCATCTCCTCCATCTCCTGCTCCTTCTTCGCCACCACTATCATCGTTATTGTCATCATTGCCGTATATACCATTAACATCCTCTGTGTTAACTGTCTCATTTCCAGTGCCTTCACCATCACCAAGTTCAACCTCTCCTGCTTCTTCTTCCTCTTCTTCGTCATCGTCATCGTCCACGTCTTCCTCTTCCTCATCCTCATCCTCATCACTTTCTTCCATGGTGTCTTCATCGTCGTCGAAATCCAGCTCCTCTTCCTCGATCAGAGTGAGTGCGCAATTGAGCATTCTCTGAAGAAGCTCTCTTGGAATGTTCTGCGATCTCTCACCCTGTGTCATCACCCATGCAACATAAATATCCGCTGAACTGATTATATTCACCAACTCCCGTGAGCCTTCCATTCTGTTGACTAGGAACTAGAAGAAATCAAATAAGTGAGTCTCTTGTAGCATCAGCAAATAAATATGTGTGCTGGTGGTCAAACAGTTGAAAAGGTGAAAGATGACCTCGAAGACAAATAATGAATTACCTCATAGAAGTGGTGAGAGTAGACTGTGCCAACACTCATTGCCCATTCCATTTCATCCAATATAGGATCGGCAATTTCAAAATCTGTCTCATAATGTTCCAGCATCTTCATTATTTGGCCTTCGTGTATTCCACCGCATATCTGAAATGAAGTGAGAGGACTTAACACGCACGTAGAGTTTTACGAGTGAAGAGCATCTCAGCAACTTTGGCCCCTCAAAGCTGCCACTTTTAAGGCACATTCCACTGCAATACTGCTGTATTCACTCACTAACATCACAAATGGGTCCATTGGGGAATATTATGCTGCAAGTAAAGAGAACAGCTGTCGTCCACTTACCTTGATGTCAGGATGCTCAATCGACAGATTCTCGATTTCCCAACTTTCGTGCAGCGTTGCCTTGTTCCACATTGCTAAACCGAGAAATTCCAAATTTGGTTTGTTCTTGGCCAGAGTTCTAAAACACAAGTAGAAATAGTTATGCTTTGCTGCACACATTTGGTTCGCAACTCTCGTACAAGCCGATCAACACAAATCGCACTTGGAAGTAAGAAATGCGAATACACAACAGTACTGAGGCCTAAACAGAGGACTAGTGGGAGGCACTCTGAGAGTCACTTCAAGAGAGTACTAACTAAGTTGAAGCATTTCGCATGAGTAAGCAACTCACTGAAGATCACTGATTGTTAAATTGAAAGAGTTTCCACACATTTCCAAGTGCTTCAGGTGGGGGAGACTGGCGGGTCCAATCAACTGCTCAATTTCATGAAGTCGCCACTGCAACGGAAAAGGAAACATAGCCACATCGAGGAAACGTAGTTCGCTCAGTTCCAGAATTGTCGAAAGCAGCCACTCGAAAGATCGCCTAGTTTGTAGTCTAAGCTTGCGCATAACAAGTTCCTTAAGAGTGTTGCGCAATTCGCTCAAGCAGCGGATGTCAGTGACCTTTGTCTCCGAGATATCAAGGAATTCAAGTCGTGTGAGTGGTGTTATCAAGAGAGCAAGATCTTTGGAATTCAAAGCCATATCAGTGATACTGAGGCTTTGTAAATTGGACAATTGACTCAAAGCAGTCAGGTGAAAGCAGAATGGAGGCAGGGGGTGTGTGAGAGATAAAGAGGTAGGTCAAGAACCATGTCCTCATTCTGTCTGAAATCTGATTAGCTTGAAACAAAGATATAAGGGAAATCGCTCTCGTCAACAGCTTTAAAAAAGGCTATAAGAGAAATTGCTCTCGTTAAGGCCAATCACAACGTCTTCAGATCCTCCAGTAGAATGCTGGAGGGAAAAAAGGCTATAAGGGAAATCGCTCTCGTCAAAGCGAATCACAACGTCTACAGATCCTCCAGTGGAATGCTGGAGGAATGTCACAGGACAAAAAAGAGCCAAGTCCCGAAAATCCTACAAACCTATGATGTAGGCATTTTCACAATTATGGAAACAAACATTTCGGATGACAAACTGAAGTACTACCAATTCCCAGGTTACACCCTCTGCCTTCTACCTAAATACTGGCAAGTTGCAAGTGGAATTCAGACTGAAGTAAAAGAAGGCCTCACATCACATTACGATCTAATCAAGAGTATGGGCATATGCGAAATAATCAGATTATATGTTTGGAAATGTCAAAACCACTTCAAGATATATGCAGACTATAATCCACCCCAGAATGGTCCCATCTTTGATTTTCTGAACATCTCACACAAAACTGTAGTATAAGGAGACTTCAACGCCCATTCCGCAAGATGGGGCTATAANTCAACTGCTCAATTTCATGAAGTCGCCACTGCAACGGAAAAGGAAACATAGCCACATCGAGGAAACGTAGTTCGCTCAGTTCCAGAATTGTCGAAAGCAGCCACTCGAAAGATCGCCTAGTTTGTAGTCTAAGCTTGCGCATAACAAGTTCCTTAAGAGTGTTGCGCAATTCGCTCAAGCAGCGGATGTCAGTGACCTTTGTCTCCGAGATATCAAGGAATTCAAGTCGTGTGAGTGGTGTTATCAAGAGAGCAAGATCTTTGGAATTCAAAGCCATATCAGTGATACTGAGGCTTTGTAAATTGGTCAGTTGACTCAAAGCAGTCAGTGACGCGCATTTTGTTTCTTTGTCACCTATTGCGAGGTCACCTAGATCCAGTGTATGAAGCCATTCAAAGGTACTCCTGTTGAGAGTGCTTACGAAATCGTTCAGACTGATGCCACTCAGTATACCAACAGAAATATCGTAAAGAGTAAAATCGCGCAAAATTGAAAGCATCGACGGTGTCAGATTGAGATTAATAAGGAAAAAGGCGTGCAAGTTGACATAGTGCTTTGAAAAGAGAGTGAGATGTTCACGTTTAAAAATGTGACGACACTGGAGTCTCGCTAGAATTGTGATGGCTGCATTTGGTGGGATTCGGCAACCTGGATGTAGGAAACGCCAAATGAACTTTGGTTCCTCGCAATCCGAGCACTTGGTAACCAACGTGTCGAATTGTTCCACAACATTCTCCACACAGAGATCCACCAGAGAAGGCACTTCCATTTCACTTGATTCTGAAAAGAACGATTCTATTTCAATGGAGTGCCACTTACCTTTCATCTCCTTAGCCATATGTGATTAGCGGGTGTCAATACAAGCGACGTACAACCCAACGCTCTCGGCAATGGTGACCAAATGTGATGTGACCCACTTTCCAAATCAATAATACTCAAATGATTGGCTCGAGGTGAATGCTGAGTTCTCATTGGTTGTCCTTTACACCAATTATTATGTCCTCTGCGTGCACGTTTTATGGGACAACAAATGGACTGACCTGAGGTCGTATTTACCAAGTTAACTTTATTCACCAGAACTTAGCCACACCACTGTAGTAATTAATAAGTACAGCTTAAATGACTAATGTTTGTACTTATTCACCTTAAAAGATGTGCTTGGTCTTTGATTTTATTGCCTATTGCGAGTTCACTTTCCGAACAATTGGTTCAGTGTAGGCTCTTTGAATTCTCTTATTCTCGATGTTGCTTGTCAATGAGACCTTAGCATTGACACGAAATACGATCGTGAAGGTTGGCGAATAATTGCTATATTTCAATAGTGCTGCATTGACCTCATTGGAGAAACTGGCCTAATAACTCGAGTAAGCGAATGAAGCGTCATCTGCTAATTCAATATGTTATGGATTCATGACAAACCAATGCCATGGGCGTTCACGAATTCGACAAAATATAGGTGATTTGAAATGGATCTGCGGATGTGAGTTTGCAGAAAGGTACACGGTGGCGTGGATCCGTTCCCGCTGAGTAGAAGAGTTAGATCTAAGTGAAGGGAAGTGGCAACTAGTGAAGACTAATGTGAAAATTAGTGCCAACTTGTGGGACACTTCATCAATGACCAATATAAATCCTACTCCAGAACACTACTCAGAGATATTTAGCTATTAATATTCACGCGAATTATGCTAGATTTATCTGTTAACTAAACGCTTTGCCAAAATGGCAATTCGCTATTCCTGATCATGAGTAGCTCCATGCGTGTACACTTGATCCTGATATACGTACTGAATAAACGTATTCCGTGCTACACGTCTGCTTCCCTACGTCCTGAATAAACGTGCTCCGTGCTACACGTCTGTTTCCAGAGTAGCTCCCTGCGTGTACACTTGATCCGCAATATACGTTCCTGCGTGTGCACTTTATCCACAATATACTCTGTGTGTACACACTTGATCCGCAATATACGTCCTGAATAAGCGGGTACACTTGATCCGCAATATACGTCCTGAATAAACGTGTACACGTCTGTTTTCCCGTATCGAATAAACGTATTCCTTGCTACACGTCTGTTTTCCGCTACTGAATAAATGTTCCGTGCTACACGTCTGTATCCTCTGTAGAATAAACGTGCTCCGTGCTAAACATCTGTTTCCTTTATATGCAATATACGTACCGAATAAACGCATTTCGTGCTACACGTCAGTTTCCCTTATAGCTGGACTATAGCTTAGCTTGTTCTGGGAGTCTAGCTAGATGTTGGAGAATTCTCCGTGCTACTCGTCTGTTTCCTTTATAGCTGGGCTATGGTTTAGCTGGTTCTGGGAGTCTAGCTAGATGTAGGAGAATCTCCCTGGTTCTGGGAGTCTAGCTAGACGTTGGAGAATCTGCCGTTCTGGGAGTCTAGCTAGATGTAGGAGAATCTGCCACAGATATAAACGCGCTCCGTGCTACACGTCTGTTTTCTTTATAGCTGAGCTATAGCTTAGCTGTTCTCTAGCTAGAGGTTGGAGAATCTGCCATAGAGATTTCTGATTCCTAGCTAGATGTTGGAGAATCTGCCATAGAAATTTCTGAGCCGGTAGCTAGATGTTTGAGAATCTGCCATGGAGATTTCTGAGTCGGTCTAGATGTAGGAGAATCTGCCAAAGAGATTTCTGAGTCAGGAGAATCTGCCATAGAGATTTCTAAGTCAGTCAGGCTTTACTTAGGGCCATAGAGATTTCTGAGTCGGTCAGGCTTTACTAGCGTAGTAATCCGCTACTTCCGTCCTCCTACTATATCACAATGTTCAAAGAGTTTAATCTAGACGTCGATACACTCGGTTTCTCTGTGTGCAATCCTTATTTTGACCCCCAATGCACTGATATCTGGTTTACGCAGTTCGAAAACATTCTCAGGGCAAAAGGTATTAACAAGAGAACAACATGGTTCCAATATGTTACAGGATCGCTCTCGACTACGATAATCAAACAGTTCAGGCATATTATCCCCAAGCCGCTAGATGATGACTCATACGATCAACTCAAGCATGCCGTCATCAATCGTTTTTCTGCTCCGCGAGAGGACCAATTGCATCAAATAATGTCCCAAGTCGAACTCGGGGATCGATCTCCTTCTGAACTTCTGCTTCATATACGCTCCCTGGCTGGTATTTATGATTTGGGTGACAATTTCATAAAGGATCTATGGAGGAACAACCTACCGGCTCATATCTCCACGGCGGTTGCCACACACCCTAACCAAGATAACTTGGACAAACTGGCGGAAGTGGCCGATATAGTCCATCGTTGTTATTACAGCCGGGTATTAATGCGGTCAAGACTTCAAATTCAACTAGAACCGACAACAAGCAACTTGACGCAATCAACGAACAGCTAAAAATCTGTCTCTAATTGTGGCAGACCTCGTTCCTCACCGCAATCACCCTGAAGAGCGCGAGCGACAACATTCTGAGCCCCGAAGACGATACCGAAGTCCCTACAAGCGTCATAATTCCATCTGCTTTTGTCATAGGACATTCGGAGACGAGGCCCAGAAGTGCGTAACCGGTTGTAAATATCAAAAGGGGAGCTCATCAAAAAAGCTCCAACGCCAGATAGTAAAGGCGACTACTGACCCTGGCCATTTCCAAAGTGGCCTCTTCCATGTTACTGACAGAAATTCAAAGATCAGATTCCTGGTCGACACGGGTTCCGAAGTCAGCGTTATTCCCCATATACTAGAAAAACGTTGTCTAAAACCAATCGGAAATCCACTTTTTGCAGCCAACAACTCTAAAATTACCGTCTACGGCCGGACTTTTCTTAATATAGACTTAAGCCTGCGTCCAAAGTTTCCCTTCACCTTTATTATCGCCGATGTTAAAAATCCCATCATTGGAGCTGATTTTCTTACCAACTTCCAGTTATTAGTCAACCTCCGAGACAGAACCCTCCAGGATAACGCCACGTCATCGCGAGTGGGGTGTTCTACAGAACCCAAAAATACTTTCGGTCTTAATATCGTCCTTCCAACTACGGACCCTTTCGATAATTTGTTATCTGAATTCCCATCGCTCTTCCGTGCGCAATCAGAAATGTTGGAGCCAAAATATGGGGTGCATCACTACATTAGTACTACAGGACAACCGGTCTTCGCAAGAGCTCGCCGTCTGTACCCTGATAAACTACGCGCGGCTAAAGAGGAATTTCAACGCACATACACACACACACACACTGACACAAACGAAGCCTCCTGAATGGTGTTTGTGCAGACAATTATTTGTCTACTTGACGAGGGGGGCGCGGTATTGAGCTTAAGTTGGTGCGAGTAGTAAGTGGGTGTTATTTGGACTGTAGACGGAGAAGAAGTGAGAAGAGCAAGTTGCTGAATTTCAACTTGCTCCGCTTTGTCGAGTTCAGCCATAATTCGAAGTCGGAGGTGAAAGTGTAATTGGCAAAGTGGAGCTTGAAATTGGCTAAATTAGATGCGGAGTTGAAATCTCGCGAGAAAGAAATTGAGACTTCCAACGAAGGCATCTTTAAGGAACTGGACTCCCTCTATCCCCAAAATAATTTTGAGAGTGTGAGTTGTGATGAAAATAGCTTTTGCTTTCTTATTTTTATTATTATTAGTTTTACGAGAGACATGGGGTAATTGTTTCTGACGGTGTTATGGAGTCGGCAGGAGATGGAGTTGGAAATGAGTTGATGAAGAGTGGCGAGCTTGCTTTGATAATGGCTTCTGTGCAGAGGCGTGGAACGCAGTCGAACTCGAACTCACTCCAGATGCTGGGAGTTTTTGACCTTTCTCATGATGTCACCAAAAGGCCTGGAGAAGATGGAGTCAAGGTGCCTTCCAAATCACTCGAGAATGAGGAGGCTAAGAAGACTAAGGAGGAGTTGGCGGTATTGGAGATAGAAGAGAATGATGGTGTAGTGGTGGTGAAACCTGAATTGGTAGAGGTGAAGAAGGAGGAAGACAGTGCCAGCGGGAATGGCACGCCTAAATGGCGGCGTGGAAGGCTTGCAAAGAAGCACCCATTGGACGCGTTTCACACGCTCCTTGTCGAATGAATCTCCTGCAAGCGGTGTCAGACGTCGGTGGTGTGAATCAGTAGAAGCAGTTGAGACTCCTCCTGGGGCCAATGGAAATCATACACACTGACCACCGTGGAACCACCTGCACGAAGACCACGTGGAAGACCATCGTTGAAGAGATTGGCAGAAAATGTGCAAGAATCAAGTCTCTCAGGTGGAATATTGAAGGGTGAAGCAGGTGATGAAGGTGATAAAAGTGGAAGTACTACCAAGACCAAGGCTAAAGAGTCAGCAGCAGTTGCCTCGAAGTGCAAAGCCTCAATAATTGCTCAGAAGGCATCAGAAGTAGCAAAGAAACGGCCAAGATACTCCATAGTAACTCCACCTTCTAGTCACTTGCGTCTGTAACGACAACATGTGGGCGTTGCCTTTTCCCTACTTGTGCATTTTGTCTACCTCTGCACTCCAACATGTACATAGTACAAATTCGGACCTGTCCCTTTTCACTAATCCCTTGTCACCCACCCACCCACCCACGCACCCACTCCCTTCCTTCAACCTTCTGCCCCTCCAAATACGATGTAGTGTCTGCATTTTTTACCCTTGTGGACATCCAAATATCCTTTTCTTCTCATTTTGTAGACATAACCAGGTTGTGTAAGTCGGTGTATTCTTTAATTGGCTGTGCGACTTACTTCCTGTGTACTTTGCATTTTCTTATTTTGGCTAATAAATGAGTGGTTTGTCAAAACGTTGAGTGATAGTGGTTGAATTTGAAAAGGGATTAATTTAGTCTATGAGTAGGAGTGAATTTGCGTGAAAGGAAAGCAAAGGTGAAAGCAGAGTGGAGACAAGGGGTGCGTGAGAGATTAAGAGGTAGGTTAAGAGCCAGGTCCTCATTCAGTCTGAACTCTGAAATCGTCAGACTGTCTGCATTGTCCACTCTCAGTTATTACGCAGTAAGTGATACCTGTTGTGGTTAAAGTGAAAATGCGAACGTCGAGTTTTCATGCGATTTCCTAACTTTGTGATAACGAATTCGCTTATTGATCACTACGAATTTTAGTTATTGCAGTACTGGAATAGGAGTATCGGATCTACATAGACATTCAAGTCAGTGATATGTCAGTCATGTCAAGGTTCACAGATTTTATCAATTCGTGGCCATTTATGGATCAACTGTGTCTACATTGAGTGCGAGATAAGGTAAATTACAGAGCTCTCTCATATTTAATCAATTGCATGACTCAATTCATTTCAAATAGAATTGCAATGTAAAGATTACTATTCATTTCACCTCACCACAATAGCCGTTGCAAAATTTGGAGTCAAACAAGGAGGCGTTTGGTCTCTGTTTGAACCACCTGGAAGAGGTACGAAGTAAAACAGAAGTCTTTGGGATTATTTCCTTCATCTCACCTGCTTCAGCAGTTACTGGTGAAGGTCTAGGTGGTGTTACCGTTAAACGTGATACCTCAGAGGTGATTGGACAATTTGTGAGTGATAGACCGAGTATAGGGTGAAGTGTGCTCTCGATTAGTATTGGGTGGAGTCGTGAAGACCAGTCTCCCAACCAGTCCAATTGCAGTGTTATTCTATCGTAAGGTGGATGATTGTGGGTGAAGAGGAATTCAAAACGCTACTCTAAAACTGATGTTAAGTTATAACTGTGAGGTGGGAGTGGGGGGTGGGGGTTTGGTCAATATGTTGACTATGACACCTCAACGTGAGGTTGAAAACGTGTGCTGGAAGGTAAGGAGGAGGGGGGCGAGAGAGAAAGAGAGGGAGAGCGAGGCGGGAAAGAGAGATAGAATGAGACACATTTTGCAGTGAAATTTCGTTTCTCCCATTGGGCATCATCAGCCACAAATGCTGGTTGTGCAAGTGAAATGGACTTGACATGAAAGAGAAAGACATGACACTACAAGTCAAAATGTGATAGGGAAGAACCACGTATTCATTTGGACTTGTTTATTCGGATTTTTGTCTAAATGTTGATGACGAAACTAATGGATTTTCACATCGATATAAATATTGATTATTCTAGAATTCTGGTGAAAGTGTTCCCCTGGTGTTCTGGTTTTCACCAAATGTGACTACACCACACCCCCTCCCAACCCCACCCCCACCCACCCTACCCACCCTCCTACCTCCATTTTCACCTTCCGGTCCACTCTTTGCTCTATCTCCCTCTCTCTCTGTCTCTATCCACTACGTGTTATGATGCTTCCCCTTGAATTATAACTTTCGGCTTTCTAATGGTTACGAATTGGAGGCGGAAGAGAACCTGGTAGTACAAAATCTGGCAAAACTCCAATTGCAGTAGCGATGAGTTGTCCATGGCCATTATTAGCCCGAAGTGTCCAAGTGCGTTGTGCTCAGCCTAGGATTTGTCTTGTAGGACATTCGGGGTCCGTTTCAATGTTTCTCAATTTGTCAAGACCTTTAATCTTTCAAGGCTAAATTCACTGACCTGTAACCACAGTCAGAGCTTATGTGATTTCACTTTTCGTAATAGAAACTGGTTAGTTCTGGTTCAGAAATCCTACTATTAAGTTCAAATACCACTACAATGTCCATGGCCACTTGATAATAACCATGTTGCAGCAACATGCAAACCACTGTCTCGAGTTGACCTACTGTGATTCATAACTCAACACTAGTCTAGAGTGGTGCATATCTCGATGAATTTGGTGCATAGTCTATAGGGCGAGTCGTCTCCTCCAACTTTCCATCCACTCTCGACTAAACAACAGAGCAGGAAGGAGGTGGTTGTGACAAACTGACTTCCCGTCAGAAGTCCTGGAATGACGAGAGAAAGCCACGTGGAAAGTAGGGATTTGAAGGTGGCTATATCATTGAAGCTGCCTGTCTATGCTTATAGAGAAGGCAAAGACATACATTTTTGGAGGCAGAAGGTGAATTGTGATGGACTTTGAACACCTCAGCACTGGAGCATGAGCTGGATTGAAAGAGATATGATAGCCAGACCTTTCATGGCACCAGTGCAATATATTCCTATATTCATACACCAGTGCTTTCAAACTAAACATTTTCCCTCTGAGTCATTGAGAATGTTGATTCACCGGTGCAAATAAAATCAACTCTTTGTTACTTTCACTTATGGCTGCACGTTGTAAATCGTCGTATCGTTTACTCCATCTGTTTGCTCTCGGGTTCATTATCACTTGGAGTGAATTCTCGTCGTTCTAGTTGCATAAGTGTGCTATCTGCTTCCTACTTTCACGGTGATTCATTTCCCTTTGGCTCCAAGTTCTAACTGTGGGACTTAAGTGAGTGCATTAATGAAATGGATAGTTTACGAAGATAAGGAAGAACTCGTTCAGCAAAAGGCTGAGTGTTGTAGCAGATGAAGGCACAAAAAGCTATTTCGTATTGGTTACGCTGATTTTAGAGGGACTTTACATGGGGTGTAAATTTATTCTCTTGCACGTTTAAAAGCCATAATAGAGGAATTAGAAGGACATTTAAACCAGCTTTATTGGTAGTTAATAGCCTTGTGAATTGCATTCACCTCATTTGACCTGACCCAATACGTCGAGTATGTGGTTGAAACTTCATGGCATTGCTGAGCTAGTCTCGACTCAATTCGCAATTTCTTTCATTCTTGCAGAATTCACATCAACTTACCTCAATTCAAAATGAATGCATTCAGAGGGAATGGGAATGTTCTCCTCCAACTCATCCCAATTTACTAGAAAGTGTACAAAATGGATGGTGGATGAAGTTGCCAAAATCCAAGTGCACAACACTTCTCGCAATCTAGTGACGTATTTTTGATTTTCTTATAGGTCACTTCCGAAGACATAATTGCTTTCATGAGCCATCTTATATCAGCAAGTGATCAATTTATTACGAGAAAATATGCCGAACTTGTTAAAAGGCCTATGCTTTCTCGAGAAGATATAATGAGATTATCGGCTGAGGAGGCAGACTTCTGTTTTAATTGTGGTCACAACTGCAGAGGTCTCTCGACTAATCGATACCCAAAGTCATTATGCTCTTATCGAACTCGAAATTGTATATAATGAATAAGCTTTGTGCCAGTCTGAACACAACGCAACAGCAATCGCACGTCTCGCAAACAACCCCAAAGCGGTAACATCATCCAGATAAACGCATTCCACGTTGTACGGCCTTTTTCTCGAGAGATATGTGGTAGCTCAGCCAATCACGGGAGACACTCTCAACTAGGTGAACTTGCCACAGAAATTACAAAGCAACAATCTGCTCACTCACCCACTCAAAATACAACAACGATTTATGAAACCAAAAGTTTATTGACAGTCAAGCAAAGGAATATGAGTTACTTGCTCGAGCCTTTTTTGCCTCCGAATTTGTTGGCCTTCTTACCCCAGCACTTTTTATTCTTCTCTTTCTTGATTTCTTGTGAGGTTTTGGCCTTCTCCTTGGCTGGCTCTGTCTCAATCTTTTTGTTTGCTTGTGTCTTTGGCAT